CACTAGGTTTTCTTATCACTACTTTTTAGAGAAGCATAAAAACCAAGGTCTTGAACCAAGAACAAATTTGTTCAAGTGTGCTTTAGTTACACGGTGGCTTGGTTTGCCTGGACCGAGGCTCTTCCAGAATTGCAGGATTTTTCTGTGTTGAAACCAGGCAAGTTTCAGGCAAATGAGGCAGGCTGGTCAACACTCCCTCCCACACACCACCACAGCAATTCAGCCCACAGTGACCTTGGGGTGTAGGGCTTTGTGGGGTTGGTTCTTTGGTTCTCAGGACCTGGAACCTTTGGGAGGGTAGGGACCCAGTTGTTTGGGCCTCACAGGTGGTAGACTTCTCTGGGCTCTAATAGAGCCACCTGCTGTAAATGTTCTGTTCTCTTTTAAAGGTAGGAGAAAAGGCAGGAGCCAGTCTGTCCAGGCGCATTCAGCGTTCAGCCAAAGGCCACCCACCCTGAGCTCCTCTGGCCCTATCTTGGAGAGCTGCCAGGTCTTTCTCCCAGCGTCCTCATCGGTGCACGAGTTGGCCCAGAGGCTGTCAGGCAGCCGGCTCTCGCTGCACAACTCGGCTGCATCCCTGCACTCTCAGCCCCCGCCTGTCACCACCACAGGCCACCTGAGCGTCCGCGAGCGGGCTGAGGCACTCATCAGGTCTAGCCTGGGCTCTTCCACCAGTTCCACCCTCAGTTTTCTCTTTGGCAAGAGGAGCTTCTCCAGCGCGCTTGTTATCTCTGGACTCTCTGCTGCTGAAGGCGGCAACACTAGTGACACCCAGTCTTCCAGCAGTGTCAACATCATGATGGGCCCCTCGGCCAGGGCTGCCAGCCAGACCACCCGGGTAAGGAACTGGTCAGGGCGGAAGCTGGGGTTCCAGGCCTGGGCTGCTTAACCACGCACTGCTCTGTGGCTCCCATACCCTCTGCCCACAGATCCCATCATCTTCTCTCTAGCTTCAGTGTGACAGTAGCCAGTGGTCCACCGTGAAATGGCTTGTCGGTGAGCCAGCTAAGATGAACATCCATGTTCTGCACTTAATAACACCAGGCTGGCATTGGGCAGAGGTTCAGCACAGTTGCTGTCATGAACTCTAAACACACAGTTGGCAAGAATGTTCCCCGCTTGTCCAAACAGTGAGGGCGGAAAAAGGCAACATCCACACTAACATTAAATCCTCATTGCATCTCATGCAACAGATCTTATTTTAAAGCTGCTGAGATGGCCTACTGCATTTGGTAATTTAAATGCTAGCAAGTGAGTTTTAAGGGCTTCATGCAAATAAGTCATGACTTGCCCAGAATTCCCAGCCAGCTTCCTTTAGATGAACACGTGAGCATCCTCAGTGAAAGTAACCAGATACCCAACAGCTGTCCTCTGTAGTGTGATATGGATGAAAAAGTTGATGACATTAAAGCAAAGAAATGGACCAGATGTGCAACTTCTGCTCCTCCTTAGTATTCATTTTCCTACAGGAGGGAAATCCCAGACACTTGGCCTCTCCTTCTGAGTGTGCAAGTCTCTGGAGGTGGGGGATGGGGCCATATCTGAGCAGCAGAGGGTAGCAGCTGGGAAGCAGCTGTCCAGGCAGGTAGGAGGGGCTGGCCTCAAGTGCCCAGGCTGCCACAACTGAGATGGCCACAGTGTGTTGGCTTCCTGGAGACCCCAGGCCCGCTACACACAAGGAGCTAGCTGCTACAGGTCTTGGACCTAAGTTTAGATAATTCAACACATAAACACCCCATCCTCCTTCCTTTTTCTTTTCCTCAACAAAAATGTACAAATGATCACTTGCTCCATCCTCAGTGTGTTGAGGTCACCATCTGCGGGGAGGGGTTCAGCCAATTCTGCTTCTCCAGCAAGGATAACTGAGTCCTAGCCTTCATGTGTCCAGGTCAGCCCCGCAGGAACTCAGCGTGTATGACAGCTGAACCTGTGTATGAAGGAAGTGATGCTGGCCAAGACAAGGGAAAGGCAGACCCACATGTGGCCTCAGGGAGGCCATCTCTTCCCACTGTGACCAGTCATCCAGACATAGTTTCCATAGTCAGAGGCATGTGCTGGAGCCCTGTGGGCCTCTGTCCTTGACCTGCCATCGCAACCTGCCCTTGGGGATGCTGCCACAGCACCCGAGGGTTCTTATAGCAAGGGTGGGGAATTGGGCAGCCAACTGGGGCAGAGCTGTTCACTGTCCCTCTCTTCTCCCTGGCAGCACTACTCCGAGCCATGTGAACCCACTGATAGCATGGAGCAGGAGCAGTCTTGTGACCAGCATCTGATTGAGGCAATGGCAGACAGCCGCGGGATGACCTGCAGAAGAGCAAGCCAGGAGGACATGGGCCTGGATGACACGGCCTCCCAGCAAAGCGCTTCTGACGAGCAGTAGCAGATCCTGCATCTGCTCAGGCACAGACTCCCCAGTGGCTCTCACCTTCCTAGGTCTTCCCTGGGTTCCCCAGCCAAAAGGAGCTACCCCAAACTTATGGGGAGCCCCTTTCTGTGGGAGACAGGGAGCTGCTCTAAAAAGCAGAATAACTTTTATCTCAGGTTCTTTAAAAAAAAAAAACCTCATATTAGGGAGGGACAGTAAGACATCACACCTCTTCCAAGTGCTCAGTGCCCCAAGCAGCACAGAACAGGCTCCCCACCGACTTTGCAGACAGTGGCAATTTCAAACTAAAGCCACTGAGTATCTTTAAATAATGTGAGTTAGTAGAGCCCATGACTAACTCCTCTCCTACGCTCCTGAAAATCAAGATACCTGCATGTTAAATATTCAGCATCTTACACACTGCTGTTACCATGAGCAAGAAATGAACAGCAGCACCTGCGATACCATCAGCTGGTTAGGTGAATTAAGGTTATGAAATCTGAGTGTTGAGGAAACCTCATCTGTTTATAGCATTTATGCAGCTGTTCAGCATAAAAGCAGCTTCGCTCCCTGAACCATGGTCATGCATGCAGTCTTGTCTGAGGTAGTCTGTGAAGAGCCAGGATATCCAAGGGTGTGAGCAGACATGGAATCCAGTCGGCGTGTGGAAAGCCATCGTGGAGTTACCTGGCGCTCCTCCACACAGTCCCATGAGCTTCCCAGGATGCCTGCTTGTCTTCTGAGCTGAGTGACCTCCCCCTGTAGCACAGCACACTTGCACACACCTCTGTTTTGGGAATTAAAATGTTTACAGTTATTGCTGGGTCTGGTGTTTGCATCTTGCTGAAACTGGTCATTTTTAAAAGCAGATCCCATGGGAAGAGCTTTTGAGCAAATCGAAAGACTGCATTTCCTGTCTCGAGACTCCCACTGGAAAAGAGCCCAAACTTGGTTGCTTGCTGATGTAAGTGAGCGTGAGGGGTCCCAAAGCAGTATCCTGGAGATTGTCACTGACTCATGGACCTGCTGAACCATCCCTTTAGGACAGACAGTAGAAAGACTCAATTTGGACAGAGGTCTATACTTTTCAAATTGTCTAGGGTTTGAAAACTGGGAGAAAGGTGGTGGAGATGGGAGGAAACTGTAGAGAATCCCACAATTGGAAGGAGATGGTAACACTCTGCCCACCTTCCGCCCCCTCCCCCTGCCCAACCACCAGTAAAGTAAGAATTAGCAATGAATAATGGTATGTGAGCCCTGTGGTTGTCAGCAATCTTTAGAGACTAATTTCTTTAGTTCTAATTTCCATGCAGGTGTCTTAACGGGACACCTTACTGTAGTTCTCCGAGTCAGCCAAGGCAAGTTCCTGTGCTCCTCAAACCCCGAGTTTGAACATTAGGCCCTGAGCACTGAGCTCAGGGGTGCTTCTTGGAACTTAGTAAGAGAAATCACTAGTGCCTGGCCAAGATCAGCTTAGAGTGCAAGTGGCACTTCCTGAGTAGCCAGAAGTAAGAAAACACAGAATAGACCATCTCTGGAGTGAGGAACCCAAGTTGTAGAGTGAGGAACCCAAGTTGTAGAGAAGTGGTACAGATCTGCCTGCCATCTTAGAGCCCTGCCTAGTCCTCTGATTCCTGAGAGGGCTGTGAGTGCTGCTTTGAATGCTCAGTCTCTTGCCTAGGAGACAGCACACCCACCTTGTGTGTGCCTACTGACAGGTGTATGTATATGCACAGCCACACGCCCAGGTGCACACAGCACAGAAGAGAAAGACAGTTGACCTGGGAGTGCTTTCAGGATTCCGTGGATGTTAGGCTAGCATCAGCCATACATCCCCCACTTTGGGTTATGATATGCAACTTTACATGTACAACTCATGAGCTTGTCAATCTGGTCCTTAGGCAGTCAGCTGCTTCTCAGGATGTGGGCTGCAAACTGAGTTTATAAAACCCCTTTTAAAGGAAACATACCTAGGTTGACATCTTTGCCGGAGTTGTTCAAATATTGCTACCAATATACAGATTTTAAAAAGCTCCTTTCTGCATTTGGACTCTAAACACAATGGTTTCTCCTTTAAAGACAATGTCAAAGTTGCAGCATTTGTTCTGAATTTTGCACTGTGTGTTAAAACCATCTGTGTCTGTTGAGTGGTGTTCTAAAATCACTGGAAGTTCCAACTGCTCTTTCCCCATAAAATGTGCAACGCTACATGTGTTAACTTGGGCTCTGCCACCTCTCTACTGTTTGGTCCCCAAGCATCATGCTACATAAGCCTCTGCTATCAGCACACTCACATGGGTGATTTTTTCACCTCCAAGGTGGAGGAAAAGGCAAGAGGGCTACATTTTCTGTGCTCCTGCACCCCTCAGTGTTCTAAGTCCTGGGGACAAGATGAGTATCTGAACTTGTAACTTTGCTGGGAACCTCTGTCAGCTGTGATAATCAGAGAGATGTTCTGCTATGATACTGGTCCAACTTTCCTACGTTTTCCACAGTCCCCTCACTATGAAAACAATACCTTCTATCTCATTCCTTTTCATACACCTCGCTGCCAGCACTGGGTATATCCTCCACAGGTGTTTGTGGAGCCGTTGAAGGTTTCCTTCCATCGTGTGGTATCATTCTCTTCCCCTCACCCACTCTGCAAGAGAAACTAGGCACAAAAAGGAACCAAAGAGCCCAAGAGAACTCAGCCATAGCAGGGTCATGATGTGAGCCCCAAGCCATTCAGTGCACTGAAACAGAGTGACAGTGTTCTAAAGACTGCGAAACCCTCCTTTTCAAGGACTCATGTGTTGGTAAACACCAGAGTTACTTTTATATTTATTAAAGAACAACTAACCAAACAATGAGAGATAGGGGAAGATAATCTAACAGGTTTTTTAAAAAATTAAAAAATAATAATCAAATAACCATCTCCTTAATATCATCAAATACTATCCCTTTAAACTGCATAATCCTGAAGCTGTACCTGGAGAGAAACTGAATTTTCCTAACATGCAAAACTGATTAAATGGTGAACTCTTTTTGTCCCCTATTTCCTGAACACATTCATAAACTTCAGTGAGGGGGAATTCCATTGAATACTCTGAAAACCATTTCTGATTTCATAATTTACTCAAATCATGTGCATGACTGCAAGGGGAAATAAACTGAAAACTTTAAGCATAAAAAAGCCACAGCGGATTGTTAATCCTGCCTTGTCAATCCAGCAACAAGGCTAATCTGAGCTTTCAAACATTTTATGGAGAACAGCTGTCAAACTGTGTTTGGAAAAGTCCACAAGGTCTCCTAAACCTGAAGACATAAGACCTTGACCAGCCAGGCACCCACCAGGCTGCTCTTGGAGCCGGTGCTTCTCCCCATGTGGAACATGAGCTGTCTTCACTTCCTGCTGCTCTGCACACACGTCACAATATCAGGCAGAAGGTGGTTTCTGTTTTCCTTAGTGACCTGTGTGGGGGAAGAAAGAAACCAGGCATCAGAGGTTTTGTCCTTTTCCCAAGGGCTGCGATAGGACATCTTCTAAACACAAATAGCCTGGAAGACTGGGTGCTGTGGCTGGTGGGGGTGGGAGGGTGTTCTGAGGCCCAGAAAGAATCATAACACTAAGGTCTGTCACCAGCATCTGCAAAATGGCAGATCAAAGGTGAAGATGTGTTTTGATGTCTGATGGGTTTCACCCATGTAAGAGCCTGGGATGAGTCCTGTGATGCATGCTGGGACAAGGAGCAGGTCGAACAGGACCTAGGACCTAAGTACAACCCAAGTAGACAGTTGCCTGAGTCCATGACAGCAACTGGTCATTAGCAGCAAGCTTTACCATCTGCTTTTACTCATTACCACACAGTCCAACAGTGAAAGAAAAGAATCTTGGGTAACAGGCTGTTCCTAAGAGTAAAGGCAGGACCATCCCTCTGACCTTCCTGCTTGGCCCCCTATGATACCATTCACCTCCACACTTATAAAATGGTGAGCAAAAGCTGGCCAAGGTGCTACAGACACAGATAAGGACCTGGGTTTCACAGAGCTCACACAGAGGGACGCACAGGTGCGATGAAGAAAAGGAATGTTAGCCTGTGAGGAGAGTCTGTGGGCATTTGGAACTGGTGTGTGGGTGTGGTCAGGAAGGGCCAGACCTGATGTAATCTGACATTGAACAATGGAGAAGCACATCCAAACAGAGGAACTGAGCAGAGCATCCTGGTAGGAGGGAGGGAATCTCTGCCTCCCTTCAGTGCCTCTGCATGGGTGAGTATGAGGGGAAGAAGGGCTGCATCCCACTGCAGACGTGCTATGGTTTGAATGTATCCGCTTTAAAGTTTATGTGCTGGGTACCTAACCCCCAAATTCATTTTATGGCTATCTGGAGTTGGTTTCTTTAGCAGGTGAGTAGGATTACATGAGATCATCAGCGTGGGGCTCCCATTGTAGCAGGTTTTAAAGAAGAGGAAGAGAAGCCAGGGCTGGCAGGCTTGCTCTGGCTCATCATTGATGTCCTCTGCCATGTTACTGTGCAGCAAGAAGACCCTCACCAATGCCTGTGCAAGATCTTAGATGCCTCAGCCCCAGGAAGATGAGCTAAATCAGCCTCTGTTCTGTGCTAAGAAGAGAAACAGGTATTCAATCGTTGTCTAACAGAGTAGGTGCCCAATTTGTGTTGAATGGAGAGATGCTTCATCACTTGGGTCCCCTGGCATCTGCTCACCCTTCTTTTTCGGATAATTGGATGTTCTTTGGAAATTTAGTTCATCTAAGAACCTCACCCTGAGTTAAGGAGGAGGGAAGCTGGCCCTGGAGATTTGCCTGAGATACAAACCTGAGTAAACAAAATAGCCAGAGCTGATGCTGTAGTTTTCCAACCGTGTCTTTGCGGCATGGATCCTATGTAGCTTTGGCTTCAATGGAAAAGAGGAACATCAACTCTTTATTCAGTTTGATGAGAAATCCCCACAACCATGAAGGCTTTTGTTGTTTTGTTACTAATTTTTGAGTTAAACTAGCCAAAGCCCATCCTTGTTATCTGCATTCAAAAAATTCACTTGATGGGAACAGAGGCCAGGGATATGAACTTGGCAGATTCACAGGGAATTGCCTGGGTTCTGCCTACAGCATCTATGACAGTGTCCTGTGTGGCTCACCAGGCCAAGAATTTGGAGACAGTGACATCTGGGGAAATTTCCTCTTGCCTAAACATTGTGTTACTTTTACCAGAGTGAGAAAGGATGAGAGGCTGAGCTGGTAGATGAGGTATGTAGAGGAAAGAAACAAGTGGAGGTGGGAAAGGAAAGATGCTGTCCTGATGGAAATAGCTCTGACTTGCTGAGGGTAAGAAGGAGGAGGATGGGTGGATGCAGCTCAGCCCCCTCCAGACACTCCTGCCTCTCATATCCCTGAGGAGACGCCCCTCCATCCAGCCTTGAAAAGGAGCTGCCTGCCATACATGGACCATGGGCATCTGACGTCATCATTTTGCATTGAGCTGTGGTGCTGCTGGTGAAATTAAAATCCTGGTACAGTTGAGAGAACTGTCATGAGAGAACAGATCTGCAGACGAGACACCTTGCAGTAAAGAGGAAGAAGCAAGGTGTGCTGTCTTCCTGTGGGTCTTTCCTAAGCCTCATTTCCAGTCTTTAAATCCCTGTGACAGACAGCTGGGGGGATTTGTGGGAGGTGAAGGGTAAGAAGGTGGAAAGTCGGTTGCCCTTGATGGATGGTCTCTTGGGCAGAGGCTGCCTCCTTGCGGGAACAAAGACCTGCAGAAGCAGTATTCTTCAAGAGAGATCCTCAAAGAGTGCTTGCATGCCACAGCCCCAGCTTCACACTGCAGGGAAGTGCCTTGTCAACATCCCCATCACAACCACGTGGCAGTCACAGACTCCCACACTGAGCTGTCAACACACTGGGCTCTCATTTCCAGCTCATACCAGGCTCACAAGGGAGACAAGGAACATGCAAGCAGTCCCATTTCAATTAAGAGGAGATAAAGCCTCAGGAGACAGGAGCTGCGGACCTCATGTGACAGACTTCTCGTCTGTCACTCAGGGATCCTGCCCGAGTCCCTGCTCCTGCGCCAGGGAGATGTCCCTGTCAGGAAGTGCAGGGGGCAATTGGTGCCACAGCAGGGGCTGGGCCAGTCATATCCAGAATTGAGTATTCTCTTCAGGTCTTGGTGATATATGAAAAGAACAAAAAGACACATTTTGAGAACACTGTCTCATGAAAAGATAATGACCAGAATCAAGTACTACATTATTAATGTATACCTTCCCTTGATTTCCCTAAGATTATTTCTGAAAATGGTGTGGTGAGATGTTTCTGTGAAATTGTCTGTGGAAGACAAACTCTCAAATGCAGGAATAAGCACAATGTCCTCTGCCAATCTCAGCACTCCATTTCTTCATGTGAAACTGCAGTCTCTCCTGGCTTTCCTCTCTCTCCCCTGCCTTTAGAAACAACTATACTGTTTTCTGTCCGTAAGTTTGATATTTTATATAAATGGAATCAGACAAGGAGTGCTCTTTTGTGTCTGCTTGTTTCACTTAGTGTAACGTTTTCAAGATCCATCCACATTGCTGCATGAATCAGTGCTTCATTCCCTCTCAATGCCAAATAATATCCCACTGAAAGGAACAATCACATTTTGTTTATCCATTCTTCAGTTGTTGGGCTGTTCCCATGCTTTTGTTCTTATGAATAATGCTTCCATGAACATTCATACACATATGTTTGTGTGAACATATGCTTTCAATTCATTGGGATGTATACCTAAGAGAGGAAATATTGGCTTATATGACAATTCCAGATTTAACTTCTTGAGGAACTGCCAAACTGTTTTTCATAGTGGTTTAGACAACTTACACTCCTATCAGCAGATGAGGGTTCCAATTTCTCCACATCCTCACCAACACTTGCTACTTTCCATTTCTTACAATTTTCCTTCTGCCATCTTAGAAGATATAAAGTGGTACCTCACTGTGGTTTTGGTTCGCACTGCTCTAATAATTAATGATATTGCATATCTTTTTGTATGCTTAATGCCCATTTGTATATCCTCTTTTTCTAGAATAAACCTTGTCTACTGAATTCTATTCCAGCGGCAAGTAATTTGTATGTCCAATACTAGTTCTGCACCCAGAGGTCAGGAATGCCCGGGCCCAGAGGATGGCACTGAATTCCTGGTAAAATGAAAATAGTATCCAAGCTGCTTGGCAAATGCACAGCAGGAACAGTAAGAGATTTTTCCATTTCCAAATTGAAGAAAAGCTGGAATCTTAGTTCCCATTATCCTTGTGACCTTACCCTCTACAAATGAAAATTACAGGAGTATGTAATAAGAAATCAAGTTTATCTGGTTCTGGAGTCAGAATATTCAGCAGATACAATACCATTTTTATAAAGAAACCAAATAATTTTTAACAATCTTAATATTTATGGCAAAATCACCCAAACCATTCTTATCAAGGTGATACTGCAGCAGGGTCATGCTAATGCTCAGGATTGGAGGTGAGTCTGTCACTGCCTGGTGGACACTGAGCAGATTATAAAGCCTCTCCACTCCTCACACATCTCCACATAAACTAGAAATGAGTGTACCCTGAGGTGCTGTGAAGTGCATCTGCACTAATGTGTCTGCATGTTCGATCACAGCACCCAGAACCACGTGCATCCAACTGGTGATCACCAATGTCTTCCACGCCATTCTGCTGGCCAGGCTCCAGGAACTCCTTCTTGTCTCTCAACAGACAACGTCTTTTAGCATTTTGACCCAGGAAGGGTTTCAAAGGAAATCAAATAAAATATGATATTTTCTTTTTTTTAATACTTATTTCTTTTTATTGGAAAGGCAGATTTATAGAGTGAAGGAGAAACAGAGAGAAAGATCTCCCGTCTGCTGACTCCCTTCCAAAATGGCTGCAACAGCTGGAGTTGAGCTGATCTTCCAGCTCTCTCACACGAGTGCAGGATCTCAAGGCTTTGGGCCATCTTTTGTTGCTTTCCCAGGCCACAATCAGGGAGTTGGGTGGGAAGTGGGATGGGATGCTGGCACTTTTAGGTGGAGGATTAGCCAATTGAGACATTGCATCGGCCCCTGAAATATGCTTTGTAAATGCCACCAAGTGGATGGGGGTTTGACCTACTGGGTAAGATGCCAGTTACGATATCTTTATCTTAAGAAAGCTTGGGTCTGCTTCCTGACTCTAGCTTGCTCCTCATGTGCATCCAGGGAGGCAGCAGGTAGTAGCCCAAGTAATTAAAATCCTGCCACCTATAGGAGACCTGAAGGGAGTTCCCAGTGTGTAATTTTGACATAATTCAGCCCTGGCCCTGGCCATTGCAGGCATTTGAAAAATTAAGCAGACAGAGGCTCTCTGACTCAAATAAATTTTAAACATTAAAAATAAACAAATAAATAAATACCATGAAGAAGACCAAACTTCCTATTTTTCAGTAGGTGACTAACCAAGATAATACTTTTTCATGCTGTTAATTAGAACATTATTTTTAAAAGTACACAGAGCTCTTTGCATTAACCATGAGTCATGAAGTTCTTTGACTCTTGCCTCTATGGCATTAATATTTCCGTTAAACATTTTTCCAGGTTTAAACAACCAAAATAAACCTTTTAAAAATTCTTCAGTGGTTAACTAAGAGAGCAGAAAACATCAGGAGACAAGAGAAAACAAACAACTGAACATTTGAAAGAACAACATTCGACCCTCAGGAGGAAAGCCACTGTTAATACCCAAAACTGTGCCAGGCAGAAGTTTCCAAGTTAACAAAATCTTTCCTTTGTTGGTCCAGAAGGCACTCTACAGTCACAACACACACAGGAGCTGCTCCTGCAACTGTGCCATGCAGGCCAGGGGAGGACTGTGCCTCCCCATACCTGGCCGACCATGGAAGAAAGATAACCTGGGATATCACCTTAACATTCTAATAGTTTTTTTTTTTTCCTTAAAAGAAAAATTGAGAGGAAGCAAAAGAAAAGACCACCGTTATTACTGATCATATTAAGTAGACTAAGGGAAAGTGAAGCAGCATCATACAGGATAGAAGACGGGATAATGGTCACACACTGCAGTGTAATCTGTTTTGTTTTGTTTTCTGGACTAAAGGGTACATGCTTTACATGTGCCTGTACACAGAGTAAATGCTAGATGCAAAGACTCCTCTGAAAAAAGGATTTGAATACTTCACTGCATGTTAAAAATGGACGGGACCCAAAACTATATTACATCCATCCCTAAAGTGTGCGTGCACAAGGACCACACAAGCCCCCAAACAGCACAAGAATAAAAGGGTACATCAGCTCCTTACATAATTAACTTGGAGCTAATCACTTCATTTACAGATCATTAAGATCGATGATTATTTTGTCTGAAGAATAACTTCCAGTTTTAAAGAGAGAAGGAAATGTGGTGTTAAGATACAACATTTATTTCTGCAGTTAACAGCTGACTCTCCTCAATCCCTCCTTAGGATGTTTGCAGAGATAGCCAGTCCCTGGTGCTTAACACTAGTTAATTTCCAGTCTTACGCCTGGAACCTATCTGGCCTGAAAACTCATTTTATTTCTTGACCATTCACTCTTTGTTGTCTCTATTTCCACAGAAACTACACTCACAACCAAAACTTTTCATGTGGCAGCCTTGTAAAATAGGAGGCCGAGAAGGCCATGTGCAATCGAGGATGCTGCTCCTGAGGGTGTGAACGCTTGTGCCTCTAGGCTCTCAGCTCAAGTTCACTTACCAGAGATCTTCCCCAATCACTCCTCCAGCCTGGCCCCCGACTACCACATTTCCCTGACTTCTTCCCACTGACTTTATCAATATATCTGAATCACATACTTTGCCTGCTCACATTTTTAAATCTGGCCCCGCACTAGGATGTAAGCCCCAGGAGGGTGTGGAGTTGTCAGCCTTGGACTGTGTGACAGGATCAGCAAGACTGGCACACAGTTTCATCAGTATTCACCAAATGAATGAGTAAATTAAGGAACGCACACGTTTCCCAGTCTGGCTTGTCTAACCCTAATGCCTGTTTACTACCATTTCCAGGATCCTTTGCAAACAAGTGAATGTCTCACTCATGCCATGGGCCACGGGAATATTTTCATTGGCAATATAGGTGCTCAGGAGTGTTTTGTAACCAGAGCTTACCCTTCACACTCTCCCTGCTAGAGCAGCCCTGTCTCTGACTTGATTATCTGCTCCCTGGCATCTGCAGCGCCAGGGAACTTCTAAAGAGGGTCAAGCGTAATAAGGTGGGGCAAGAGGGACAACACATGAATCTGGCTGGAGAAGAAAAGAAAGGATTTAGGCAGTGTCAGCACCACCACAAGATGCCGTTACCACTGGCTCAGACACCAGCACTGGTTAATACAAGATGCCTAACTCCTCTGCTCTCACTTGTAACCCACAGCTATGCCTCTCAAACCTGAGAAACACCTGTGACCTTGTTAAAACTCAGATCACTGGGCCCACTCTCATCGAGTTCAATTCCTTAGGGGAAGGCAACACAGACATGCATGTCGCACAAGCTACCAAGTAATGCTCATACAGCCAGTCTACAAACCTCAGTTTGAGCAGTAGGATGCTACAGTTGTACCATTCCATGTGGTAGCCAAGTGTGCCCAGTGTGACTCATTATTTAAATATAATTAACTTTAAATAAACAGCCACATGTGACTAGGGGCCACTGTGTTGTACAGTCCAGCCAGAATATTTCTAGCATGGCGGGAGGTACTTTTGAACAAGGCTACTCTATATCATCTGCAAGCTGTGCTTCCAACTTTAACCACAGCCTTGTCTCCTCATTAGCAGAAGTGGGTCAGCTGAAAAGAGAAACTTTTGAAACAAAACTATATTTATGTGCATCGGTATCCCAACCTGATCCTTTAGTCTGAGAGGCGGCAAGCTTAGAACAAGGATTTCTGCTACTCAGGTGATGTGAAGCTAGAGGTCCTATTGTCTGGCAGGAGGTAGAAGAAGGCAGCCAGAATAGGGAGTATGGTAAGTTTTGCAAATATCCAGATCAAACTCACCTATATTCCCATGCAGGAGGAAAAAACAGCAATCTAAAGCCAAAGACACATGTTAAGGCCACAGGTCGTCTCAGGTGGAGGACTGGCTGTGCTCAACATACTCACACTGAACACTTTGACGTCACCTCTGCTTCTTATTTCTTCCACAAGGGCCAGTGGCTTTCCCTTAGGGACTGGGATTGTGCCAAGAATTATGGTTCCTGGGGTGGACAGTGTCTGATGAACAGCCTGGATGAAGGGCTGACTGAAGAGCTCCATCTTCCCAATCTCATCAATGACACACACTCTCTGCCCTGGGCCGCTGCTGGAGCTTGCCTGAGGATGACAAAGACAGACACAAGGAAGCAGAGTCATGTTAGCCAAAGGGCCCTCGATCCTGGCCCATCAGTTACCTACTGGCAGTCACATGATGAGTTAGATCTTCAGCAGTCATGAGATGCTCCTTATAGCCTACACAAAGCAAGTCAAGGAGGACTCGTTTCAGAAGGGCTCCCTTGGAGCTACAGTATCCAGAAAATCCAATTCCCCAAGTCAACGAGCTTTTCCTAGACAGTTCTAATAATCAAGCCTTATATTTATGTATATCCAGGAAACAAATGACTCCTGAACTCCCCAAGTTTAAATTAAATGACAGTGATGCTTATCAATAATAGTTCTCCCTTGTTAATAATACCCATCTCTTGAATCATGAGAATGTTCCTATTTGTTAAGAAAATCTGTCACAGGCAGACACATTTCATAATTTGATCCATGAGTGTTCATGGAAAAAAATTAAAATGGAAAGGGAAGGAGTCTTTCCTTCTTTAGTGAAAAGGAAAAACAAATGAGCTCAATGGTACACTTTAGATCTCAGATTCCTTTTCCTAATGACTCAGTCTGGTCCATGTCCACTATTGCCTTGAAAATCCTACTCAGAATAGGACTGGAAGCCAGCATCCAAGGGTTCTGCTAATTCCATGTACAGCCCTCTCCCACAGAACAAGGTAGTCTGTGTGCCCAAGAGAATATGGCAGAAGTAATGGCATGTCACTTTTGGTGTCAGGGAAAAAGAAGTTTGCTGTTTCTGTCTTGGGCATCCTTTCTAAGACCACTTGCTCTGGGGAAGACAGCCATCACACTCTGAGGATAGGCATGTTCTTGTGGTAAGCACTGGGACCAAATGCTTCCAGCCAGAGAGGAACAGCCTACCAGCCAGCACATGAGTAAGCTCTGAAGCAGATCCTTGCAGGGCCCCATGAGAGGATCACAGTCCCTGCAGACACCCTGCCTACAGCTCAGGAGAGCCCCTCAGCCAGAATCACCCGCTAAACTGAACCTGCATTCCCACCCCTTAGACCCTGTAAAAGCACATTTTCTGCCTTAAGCTGCTATACTTGGGAGAAATTTGCTAGTCACCAGGCAATGAATGGACAAGTCCTCTCCAGAATGACTCCCTCACAAGGGACACAATAGAACATACAAGAAACACTTAAATGAATGCCAAATGACAACTCCATTTTACATACCCGTGTATAAATAATCTTTGTGAAAACTGTACATAAAGCTGGTTTACAAGGTGCTGTTCCTGAGGTAATGCAGCATGGCAATCCTGAGTGCCAGCCTGAGGTAAGTTAGATTTTCCTGAAACCTCAAACACCGAAGCAATGTAGGGTACTGTGTCACTAGGGGAAACATGCATGTGGCAGCCAGGAACAGGAGGGCAGATCTTGAAGGCCTCAAATGGGCACAATGTGGTAGATATTTTGTTGCACAGCCAAGAGCCTAAGCCAGGAAGGACGACAAATGGTGCAAGAATGTCTGGGGCCATGTGTAGTCCAAATGACATATCAGACATAGTGTGGAACAGACAGTATGAGAAATGGGCGCAGTCTACAACCAGGTTGCAGTGGGAGGGAAGCATGAGAGCAGTATCCCTCACACTTCCTTCTTACTTATTAGGGAATACATATGCTATGTTCACCCACTCATTTAGGAGCAGAAAGCACAAGAATGGGTCCACCATAATTAAGCAAGTAGGGTTTGAATAACGGCCTAATGTCAGTGTTCCTGCTGCAATTAATTAAGTTATCTGAACACATAGCAGGTCTCCCCTCTTGGTGCACACAGTGTTCCATGGTTGCCTTCTCTGCGGAAGTGCATGATGCTGGAATGATGAGAGATGGAAACCTGGGCCACCCTACACAGGTGGCAGTGGGGAGGAAGGGAGAGCATACAATGCACTAAGATACTTGGCATGTCACGTTTTTCTTTCAAAAGTGTGTGTCAAATCTGGGAGACATACAATAACTTTTAGTCACCTGTCTGTGCTGATAAAAACAGACAATCCCACAGGAAGATTTCTGCCTTTCTGGCAGCAAGGCATTCCAGCTGACCTCTTACTAAGTAGCATCGGGGCAGTTGCTGCCTCTTAGACAGTGAATCATAGTGGAGGTTGTCTTACTAGTGGCTACCATCCAAAGCTATTTTGACACATCAAAATGACAGATCAAAAAGCTGCCACTGCCAAATCATTCAAGAAAAAGTAATATTAAAGCATGCATTTGAATGATTACATAAACATGCCTATATGAATACGCATGTGAAGGAATAAAGCACATGGCTATACAACATCCCTTCCTGTAATCCTCCACAACATTCACCAGGGAGAGCTCGTCGTATCAAGTTCCAGTCCAAAGATATTTGAAGACATATGTATATGTTAGAAATGGAAATTATTATCTTCATTCTGTTCAGAACTAGGAATTTTTATAATATGGAAACTGTGGGAATCTCAAAAATAAGTGTGCAATTTTTAATGAATAATTATTTATACCATTGAGAGACAGACATGAGATGCCTGAGAACTCTTGGCTTGTGTCTCTAAATAGCACATGAACTCAGGAGCTTAAGAAAGGAATCAATATTATGTTCAACGTTATTTTATTTCCATTGGAATTCAAGCCATGTTAGAAGAAACATTATCAGTGACCCAGCATTCATCTTGTGTTACTGCTCCAAATGGTGAGCAGCTGGAGGCATATCAGTACAAGTCACAAGGGCCTAAGTGGAGGGTGGTCAAGCACTGCCTGGCCTCCATCCACAAGTGGGAGCATACTGAGCTTCCACAGGAACTGGAAGCTGTTGGAATGAGGGAGCAGTGTGACACCCTGAAGGTAGCTCTCAGCCACATGGTTACCGTCACTGTCTAAACATCACCTGTGTTCACATATCTGTCAGGGCATGCATTCTCTTCCACTCTCACCCTTCACAGAAGCATCACTTGTAAGGGCTGTACTTTTGGTCCTGTGTAGAATACCCAGCCACTCTGTCCATACCCTTCTTTTTGGTTCCATTTCAGCTGATTTAATAAATTTTCAGCCTTAAAGAATAAGGAAAATTTACGCCGACACAGCACATTTTTGGTTGCTTTGTTCTGAGGGAAGGTTTTTCTCTAAGATGAAGCCCAGCATGAATAGCCAAAGGTGAGAGAAATCATGAATAACTGTATAGTTCTGGTGGCACTCAGCTACTTTGCTTTCAAGAAAAATTAAACTGACTTAGAGCAACAAAATATTTTTGTAGTGGTTATATCAGAAACTTAAAAATAACATGTGTGGGTTTTTTTGTCTTTTCTTTATATGAATCTAATTAAAGCAGATTTTGCCATATTCTGAATTATTTGCATAATATATATTTCTGGTATTAATGAACATACTTAAAAAAATATTATGCTGAGTGGTTTCTAAGCTTGTCCATCTGCGACACCAAGTGCTGAAGCAAATGTGCACCAGAAGTCAGGCAGTAGGCCTATTCTTTCCCAAGAGTCACATATCCTGGGCAAGCAGAAAGAAAGGCAAGTGGTGGCCACAGCAGCCAGGGCTGAGCACCTCACAAGACCTCACTCCCTGAAATTTGCTAAAAATTCAGGGCCCCAGTCAGACTCTCTTGCCGTTTATTCTGAACCTTCACATTTCAGAATTCCTTCAAGTCATGTGGCATGTGAACTGTATGTCTCCAGGGAGGAGCTAGGGACAAGATGTCTAGACTGCCGGACGGATACGTCTTCCAGCCTGGCATTTCCCTACTTAGGCCCACTCTGGCTGCAGCTCCTCCGCCAGCCAGGCCAGAAATTTCCACCCCAAGGCTCAAGCTGACTTGTCCTGAGGACCTGGTGCTCATCTAACAACCTGACCCAGAGCACTCTAACATTGCCCTGGTATTCCCCAAGCTGAGAGAACTATCCTGGAACCAAAACATCATTTGTTAGCTGACAGCTCAGTGGGAAGAAGAAGCCGGTACTCCTCTGATCCTGGGACCTCTGGACCAGCCTGGAAACCTAGGTTCCTGGGAGTCTACAACAGATGTATTGCCTCACTCTGGTTGCTGGGTTTCTGAGGCCCCAGCCAAGGCAGCAGTACCTCACTCAACTCCAAAGGAAAAACAGCCAGAGCTACTCCTTTTGTAAGCACCTCATAAAAGCCAGGGGTTAAGGAATTTGACCTCCCATGTGTGTTCAGTCCTTCTGGTAACCTCACAGAGCAGGTATCAGCATCTCTGTTTTATAGATGAAGAGAAGCAGTCAGGGGTTAAATGACTACCCCAAGTCACAAAGTATAAGGACAGAGTCAGAGTTAAGATCATGTGACTCTGAAGTCAAGTTCCTTCTACGCCCTCTGTGCAATTCACCTGCATACTTTCATTCTGAAATATAGAAGAATAATGTCCAGGAAATTTATCTAACACTGAAGACATGGATCTTTTCTCCAACAATGATCGATAAAGAGCATTCCACTTTCTAGCATCTACAAAGGCACAGGCACAAACCTCAATTTCTTTTAAAAATTAATTAACTAACCGGAAAGGCAGGGTGAATGAGAGACAGAGAGGTGGAGAAGGAGAGAGTGAGAGAGATAGCATCTACTCCTTCATTTAATCCCCAAATGGTTGTAGTGTCTGGAACTTGGCCACACCAGTGAAGAATACTTAATCCATCCGAGTTTTCCAGGCTGGTGGCAGATGCCCAAGTACTTGGGTCTTCTTCTGCTATTTTCCCAGGTGCATTAGCAAAGAACTGGATCAGAAACACAGCAAGTGGGACTCAAACTGGTGTACCAATAAGGGATGCTGACATCACAAGCACCAGCTTAACCTGGCACAATGTCATCTCCCCTCCCCATTTCATACATTTATATACACACAGACACATACGGGGAAAGAATAAGCAAACAATAAGGGAGATTGAGTTTAAAGTGTTAGAAATAGTTGAAAAATGAGCATTTAGCCTAGGAGTTAAGAATCCTGCATTCCGCATTCGAGGTGCCTAAGTTCTATCCCTA